AGACTCTCCTGTGTTCTCCCCTTCTCTCCAACTCAGAGTTAAATGATGATTTTTCTTGTCTCATTTTCCCAGAGATGTAGTAATGTTTTCCAGATATATGACGAGGAGGAGAAATTTCTTAACTCAAATGAAAAGAAGACACTTTCTGAAAAGAGCTTAAACCAGGAAGAAGCTATTCTGTGGACCAAGGGTGAGATCCTTGGGAGAGGAGCCTATGGCACAGTAAGTAAGCCTTAAACCCTCATACCAGAACTCTCCACCCACCCTGAGCCCTCTCTTCCCTACCATCCTCCTGCTGGCATGCTTACTTAGAACTCTTTCAACTGGAAGCAACAGAAAACCTAACCCAAACTGACTTCAGGGAGATGATGCTCCTTGCTTTATGCAGTTGGAAGGTATGGAGTTTGTCTGATGTTTTTAGGGACCAAACGATGTCCTCAGGATCTGTTCCCCACTTGGCCCTTGCTATCAGGCAAGGGTCTGATGGCCATTCCACTTCTAGCCTCTCATTCTAGGTTCAAGCCTTGTATTAGTTATTTTTCTTGCTGCTGCAAAAAGACACCTGACAAAAGCAACTTAAGGAAAGAATTATATATTTTGCCTTACAGTTTGAAGGCACAGTTCATTACAGTGGGGAAAGCATGGGAGCAGGAGTGTGGGGCAGCTGGTCACTTTGCATCCACAGTCAAGAAGCAGAGAGAGATGAATGCTGGTGCTCTGTCCACATTACAGGGTGATTCTTCCTACCTTAGTTCACTTAATCTAGAAACTCCCTAATATATGTCCAGGGGTGTGTCTCCTAGGTAATTTTAGATCCTGTCACTATCACAAAACCATTGGGAAAGAAATCTCTCCCTTTGGTGGCTCAACATATCACTGGAAATTGGAGACTGATTGCAGTGGGGCACAATCAAATGGTGTTCCTTATGTTTTGTGAATTGCATAAAAGACCCCCTAATGTCTTGGTAAACTATAGAGGATTTGCATAGATAGGTAAAGAGATGATTGACCTCCAAATAAGACAGAACTGTGTGGTCTGCAGTCAGGGACACTTCCAGAATCCATGAGAAGGTAGGAAGAAAATAAAACCCCTGAGAGCACATCATAGAGTGACTGAAGGACTTGCTTCCTATATCCAGAGAGCTTTAGATCTGCCCTCACCATGTGGTCTTTATTTGGTGAGGAGCTCTCCCAGACCAGCATCTGATGGTGTCATCAGAGAAATCTGTGGGATGAATTGTTGTTACATCAGTTTTATAGATCAAAACTGAACTAAGAGGCTGGGTGTGGTGGTGCATGCCTTTAGTTCCATCACACGGGAGGCAGAGGCAGGTGGAGCTCTGTGAGACTGAGGCCAGCCTGGTCTACATAGTGAGTTCCAGGACAGCTGGGCTACAGGGAGACTCTTACTCAAAAAGACCAAACAAAACCACACAAACAACAACAACAAAAAACCCCAAAAAACTGAACTAAGAAAGATCATATATGGAGGGCTGGAGAGATAGGTCATTTGGTAAAATGCTTACTGTGTAAGCATGAGGACCTGAGTTCCATCCCCAGTGTCTGCATAGAAGCTGGGTCCTATAATGTGTACCCATAATCTCAGTGCTAAGGGAGGAAGTGACCAGAGGATCCCTAGTATTTGATGGCCAGCCAACCTAACCTAATTGGAGAGTTCTAGGTTTTGTGAGACTTTGTCTTTAAAAGAAAAAGGGTGGGAAAGCAATTGAGGAAGATACCTAATGTTGACCCCTGGCTTCCATGTGCACCATACATACATGTGTACACAGGCATCATACGACTGCTGGGTGTGGTGGCACATACCTATAATCCCAGCACTCAGAAGGTGAAGGCAGGAGGATCATGAGTTCAAAGTCATATTCAGTTATATAGTGATTTGGAGGCCAGCCTGGGCTATATGAGACAAAAGCTGGAGAGATGACTCAGTGATTAAGATTGCAGAGGTCCTGGGTGTGATTCCTGGCACCCACATCATAGCTAACAACTGTCTATAACTTCAGTCCAGGGGATCTGACGCCCTCTTCTGACTTCTGCTGGCATTACATAACACAGGTACACTTACATACACACCACTCATACACATAAAGATAATTTTAAAAAAGTGATTCCTGCTCTTTCAGAGGACCTGAGTTCTATTCACAGCACCCATCTATATCTAACAACAACTACCTGTAACTCCAGCTCCAGGGCATCCAACATCTCCCTTTGGCTTCCATGGGCACCTGCACACATGTGAGCATACATACACATAAATGAAAGGGGCACATACACACATAAATAAGAATAAAAAAATAAATATTTTTTGAGAAAGGGTCTTACTATGTAGGATTTGCTGGCTTGGAACTCGATATGTAGACCAGTCTGGCCTCAAACTCAAAGAGCTTGACCCGCTTCTGCCTCGTAAGTGTTGGGATTAAAGGCATGTGTCACCATGCCAGGCTAAAAACAAAAATCTTATAAAAAAAATAAACAACAACAACAAAACCAGACAAGGGACTGAAAAGATGGCTCAGCAGTGAAGAGTGGCTTACTTTTCTTGCAGAGAATTCAAGTTCAGTTCCCAGCACCTACATAAGGAGGCTCACAACCGTCTGCAACTCCATTTTCAGGGTATCCAATGCCCTCTGGCCTCCATAGGTACCTGCATCCATGTGGTGTACATAAACTCATAAATCTTAAAAGAAAAAGAAAAGCAAGGGGAAAAAATACAACGTATCCAAAAACACATGAGTAGCGAATAATGAAGCTGGGGTTCAGATGGATCTAAGACGTGTGACTCCAAGACATTATGATATCTGTGCACCACACTGCTTTTCCACTGCCATCTTGGCTCCCTTGAACACAGAGTTCACCTAACTATGTGTTGTTTAGCTGGTAATGATAGACTTAGAGGAAGAGAAGTGTTTGGGAGGAGAAGGAAAGGGCACTTTTGAACATGTCACTATAGCATTTAAATTGAATAAGTTGTCCTAAACACCTTTTTATTGCTTTGATAAAACACTGACCCAAGTCAGCTTGAATAGTAAAGGGTGTATTTGGCTTACATGTCCTGATCACAGCCCATCTTTGAGGGAAGCCAAGGCAGAAACTCAGGGCAGGAGTCTGGAGGTAGGAGCTGAAGCAGAGGTCATAGCTTGCTCCTCAGCCTGCTTTTCTTTCTTTCTTTTTAAATATTTTATTTAATTTAAGAAATTTTGTGTGTAGGAGTGTATTGCTTGCATGTATGTAAGTGCACCTGTGATGTGCAATGCCTGTGGCCGTCAGAAGAGGCTGTCTGATCCCCTGAAACTGGAGGTACAGATGGTTGTTAGCCACCATGTGGATGCTGGGAATGGAACCTGGGTCCTCTTCAAGATCAGTCAGTGCTCTTAACTGCTGAGCTATCTCTCCAGGCCCATCAGCCTGCTTTCTTATACAATCCAGGACCACTTGCCCAGGGTGGCACCATCCACAGTGGGCTGAACCTTCTCACATCACCCAACAATCAAGAAAATGCTCCCCCACAAGACATGCCCACAGGCCAATGTGATAGAGGAAATTCCCTAGTCAAGGGTCCCTCTTCCCAGGTGTGTCAAGTTGACAACTGATGCTATCCAGCACATATGTATTGTTTTGTTTCTAGGTATACTGTGGGCTCACTAGCCAAGGGCAGCTGATAGCTGTAAAGCAGGTGGCCTTGGATACCTCCGATAAATTAGCTACTGAGAAAGAATACCGGAAACTGCAGGAAGAAGTGGATTTGCTCAAGGCACTGAAGCACATCAACATTGTAGCTTATCTGGGGACATGCTTGGAGGAGAATACTGTGAGCATCTTCATGGAATTTGTCCCTGGTGGGTCCATCTCTAGTATTATAAACCGCTTCGGTCCACTGCCAGAGATGGTGTTCTGTAAATATACAAGACAGATCCTGCAAGGTGTCGCTTATCTCCATGAGAACTGTGTAGTACACCGAGATATCAAAGGAAACAATGTCATGCTCATGCCAACAGGAATAATAAAGCTGATCGATTTTGGCTGTGCCAAGCGTTTGGCCTGGGCAGGCTTAAACGGCACTCACAGCGACATGCTGAAGTCCGTCCGTGGGTCTCCGTACTGGATGGCCCCTGAGGTCATCAACGAATCTGGCTACGGAAGGAAGTCAGATATATGGAGCATTGGCTGCACCGTCTTTGAGATGGCGACGGGGAAGCCTCCTCTGGCTTCCATGGATAGGCTGGCGGCCATGTTTTACATCGGGGCGCATAGAGGCCTAATGCCTCCTCTACCTGACCGCTTCTCAGAATCTGCAGCAGACTTTGTGCGCATGTGCCTCACCAGGTAAGACACTCAAAGCAGCCAGATGCCCAGGAACCTCAAGCAGCTATTCTCCTCCCAATGTCTGGCCCATTCAAAGCTTTGCTTCAGGGGATGGGGATGTAGCTCGGTTGGCAGCATTCTTGCCTAGTGTGTACAAACAAAGCCATGGGTTCCGTCCCAGTACTGCATAAACTGAGGATACTGCTGTGTTCCTGTTACTTCAGCACTTGGGAGGTGGAGACAGGGGGATCAAAAGTTCAAGGCGATCCTCAACCACAAAGCCAGTTCAGGGCTGGCAGGAGATATGTGAAACCCTGTCTGAACAAACAACAAACAATGCAAACAGTATAAATATCTACTTTTAAAGGTATTTTAAGCTGAGTTCTTCACATTTATTTGTGTCTAGGGGAGGCTTGCACATGCTATGTATGTGTGGAAGTCAGAAACAACTTGTGAAATTTCATTCTCTCCCACCATGTGAGTTTATTCAGGATGTCAGACTTGGCAAGGAATCACCTTACCATTGAGTCATCTCTCCAAATTTTATAAGTAAATGTAATGGTGCCAAAAATTCTTATTGCATGGTAACCCTGAAAGTATTTTTATTATTTTGAGGTAGGGTCTCCCTGTTTCCCCAGCTGGCCTGGTACTCGCTACATCAACCAGGCTGGCCTTGATCTTACAGAGATTCACCTGCCTCTGCCTCCCAAATGATGGGATTAAAGGTGTGTGCCACCATACCTGGCTGAAAGTATGAATTGTAGGTATATGTAAATTATATTCTGAACAAATTGAACAAAAATACAGTGGAAAAGTAGGGCCTAGCCCAGTGTGGTTTCTCTCTCTCTCTCTCTCTCTCTCTCTCTCTCTCTCTCTCTCAAAGCAGGGCTTTGTTTTTATTTACAATAGCTACCAATGTCAAAAAGCTGGATATACTGTTTAATTCTTCCAATGAGTTAGAGTTAAAAAAAATCTTTTTTTGAGACAGGCTGGTCGTAAGTTCTCCAACTTAATATTTAACCAAAGATAGCCTTGTAAGTGGATCTTCCTGCCTCCACCTCTCAAGTGCTGGATTATAGATGAGCACCACCAAGTTCAGTTTTTGCAGTGCTAGAGATTGAACCCAGGGCCTTATACATTCCAGGTAAGCCCTTTACACACTGAGTCATAGCCCCAGCATGTAGGCATTATTGGTAGCTCTCATTTTCCAGGTGAGGAAATTTTGGGTCACTTGCTTGAGATTGACTGCTACAAACTGCAGTCAGGGCTCAAGCTAGGTTGGCTGGACTGTCAGCAGTTGTGCCTCCACTTTTATTTTTTATTTATGTGTTTGTGTGTATGCCATGTGTGTGTGAAGGAGACCATGGAGGCTAGAAGAGGGTGTCAAATCTCCTGAAACTGGAGTTAGAGGTGGTTATGAGTCATCTGATGCAGGTGCTGGGAACTGGGAACTGAATTGTCCTCTGCAAGAGTAACAAGTGCTCTCAACCACTGAGTCATCTCTTCAGCTTCTGTGCCTCCATCTTTAAAGCCTGCGTTGGGGTCTGGCAGATCTTGGGAGTGGTCATATTACAGTGTGCTGCTTCTAACATGGTGTTTTCCTATTCTTAGGGACCAGCATGAGAGACCTTCTGCTCTCCAGCTCCTGAAGCACCGCTTCCTGAAGAGAAGTCACTGAACGCACTGACTTCCCAATCTAGATACTCCCTTACTGCTTCGCTGTGGGGAATGATGGTTAAGGGACTTGATTTCTTACTGGAAATTCAACCTAATTCAACTTAACCAGATCCTGCAGTGTTAATGGAAAGTTGTAGTTACATACTGACTTCAAGCTTCAGGCATGCATGACTGCTCATGTGCATCAGAAGAATAAGTTCCCAGTAATACAAACCAAACCCATTCCAGTGTTTACAGTTTTGATTGCCCAAGAACTATATTGCTTTATACATTTCCCTTACTTTTAAAGCCATGAAAGTAAATTGCATAAAATTTCTCTGGTGAGTCAAGATGATTGTGTGTTTAAGCTTGCTTTTATGTGTATGCACATGTGTAGACCAAATATTAACATCTGATGTCTTTATTGCTTTCCACCTTATTTTTGAGATTCTCTCACTGAACTTGGTGCTCACTGATTAGGCTGGCTGGCCAGCAAGCCCTAGCCACCCTTCTGTCTCTGCCTCCCCAGTGATTTAAAAATATTTTTTTTAAAAAATTTTTTATGTGTATGAATATTATGCCTGCATGTAAGTGCACCCATGTATATAATGCCCATGGAGGACAGTTAACTGCCAAGTGGGTGCTGGAATTGAACTGGGGTCCTCTGTAAAAACAGTCAGTGGTCTCACCTACTGAGCCATCTCTCCAGCCGTCTCCCTAATAATGTATTTAAATAAAAAATTTCTTTTAATTCTTTAATTTAGTGGGACATGGTGGCACATGCCTTTAATCCCAGCACTTGGAAGGCAGAGGCAGGTCAAACTCTGAATTGGAGGCCAGTCTGGTCTGGATAGTGACTTTCAGGCCTATTGGGGCACATGGAGACCCTGTCTCAAGACCAATCAACCAAACCAACCAATCCAGCGATTTTTAATTTAATATTTTTATTTTGTGCATGAGTGTATTGGCTGCATCTGTGTGAGTGCACCTGTGCCATGCAATGCCAGCAGAGGTCAGGTGTCAGATTCCTGGAACTGGAGTTATGGACAGTTGTTAGCTGCCATGTGAGTGCTGAGAATTGAACCTGGGTCCTCTGCAAGAGCAGTTGGACCTTTTAACCGTGGAGTCATCTTTCCAGCCCCCAGTGATTAAAAAAATTTTGTGTGTGTGTGCATGGGTGTGTGTACTACATGGAGGTAGGTGCCTGGGAAGGCCAGAAGGGTGTGTAGGATCCCCTGGAACTGGATTTACAGGTGGTTGTGAGCCACGTAATGTTGGTGCTGGGAACTGAACCCAGGTCCTCAGCAAGAGCAGCAAGTCCTTGTAACTGCCAAGTCATCTCTCCAACCCCTCCCTAGTAATTTTTAACGTGGAGTATTGGGAATTGAACTCAGGTCCTCCTGCTTGGGAAGCAAGTACTTTATCCAGTTATTTCCTCAGCCCCCAATTATTTATTTTTATGTGTATGAGTGTTTTGCCTGCATGTATGTAAGTGTATCCGTGTAGTACAAAGCCTGCAGAGGCTAGCAGAGTGTATCAGATCCCCTGGAACTGGAGTTAAGGATGGTTGTTAGTCACCATGTGGATGCTGGAATTGAACCTGGGTCCTCTGGAAGAGCAGCCAGTGCTCTTAACCACTGAGCCATCTCTGTAGTCCCCAATTAATTCTTGTAAAAGGAATCTGGAGAAAGTGGGGAAGGTGAGGTAAGAGATCACAGAGACTGATTGTGGTGTGATCAACCTGGCAAAAGTAAATAAATATATCCTAGTGACACTTTAGCTATCAGATTATCAAAACAATGGATCCCAAGAAATTAGAATTTCTTCAGGAATCACATGCTAATCTTGCATTCTAGGAACTTCAAGATGTTTAAAAGGAGGAGCTAAGGATCTTGGCATTCTGTCAGTTCCTGAACTCGTTTCTTAAGAAATTGGGCAGTTGCTTACAGCTCTTCACTACTAAGACTGCCCCACTTTTCTGAGTTCAGGGTAAAAAGCCAGAACTTTGGGCTGGAGAGATAACTGAGTGGTTAAGAGTGCTTGCTGTGTTTCCAGAGGACCATGTTAGGTTCCCAACACCCACGTTGGGTGGCAACAATCACCAGTAATCAGTTCCAGGGGATCTGATGCCCTCATCTGTTCTGGCTTCCCCAGGCACCTGCACATACACAAAAGTCAACAACAAAAAATAAATGTAACTTTTCTCTCTACCTTCCCCCCTCCCTCTCTCTCCCGGCTTTATCTTTTTTGGATACTGGCCAAAAGCTTAAACACACTTTACCTGACACTGTGCTTTCTCACTGAGGACAGTCTGCCCTTCACCTTTTAAAGTCACAACTTTCTCTTGTTACCCATCTTCCTAGGAGCTGCCAAGATTTACAGCTTGTCTGCCCTATTGTTTCTGTTTTAAACACTTAATGGTCCTCTACCTTAAAAAAAAATTTACAATAAATTGCACTATGTAATGTGTGGTCATAAAGCCCAGGCTTTCACCCCTGTAATTTCCTAGTTATATGACTTTACAGTTGCACTTTCTTCAGTGAGTCACGTCACACTCATGGTAAGAACTGACTAAGCCTACTCCAGCTCAGAGTCAACATCTAAACTTGTCAGAGAACTTTGGTTCACTTGAATGAGGTCATTCCCCACTGAGATTACTCATCAAATATTTTCATTTCCGGAACACTGGTAAGAGCTGTTAGAATTAATTACAAGCCTTTTGAAGTTGGGAGAAGACTACTTGGGACAGGGTTTTGTTCACTAAACTTTATAGACAGCTGTTGTTTGTGAAAGCTTTTACTCTGTGTCAATCATCAACTCAAGATGCAGGGCTCAGTAGAATTTTTTGCCCAGCATGTGTAACATCCTGAGTTCAATCCCTGGACACACACACGTGCACACAGAGTCAAATTTGGGGCTGGGGATTAGCTCAATTCTTGCATAGCATAAACACCACCATGGGTTGGATTCCCAGCATTGCATAAATTGGGCATGGTGACATGTACCCACCTATAATCCCAGCACTCAGATGAGGCAGAATCATTAAAGGTTATTCTTGTCTACATACTGCATTCAAGACTAGTTTAAGCTATGTGAGACCCAGTCTTAAAGGACTCTCTGCACCCTAAAACTCTTATCAATCTTAGCATTAGTATCAGGTTTTGTCAAATATGTAACTTTGGCTTGGTCTTTGTGGATATATTTTTATTTTGTCCTTTATGTTTGTATTTTTTGCATACTTGAAGGGATGAAAACTTTTACTTTGTATGTTAATGTGACCTAAAACGATGTAATTTTGACTGGATATGGTAGTGCACTCCCAGAATCTGGGAGGCGGGAAGATGGCTGCAAGTTTGAGTCAGCTCTTGGGCTACATTCTGAAATCCTGTTTCAAAAACTCAAAACAGCTGGGTGGGGTGGTGCACCCCTTTAATCTCAGTGCTTGGGAGGCAGAGGCAGGCAGATCTCTGTGAGTTCAAGACTAGCCTGATCTATATAGCAAGTTCCAGGTCAGCTGGGGATACAGGGAGACCCTGTCTCAAAAAGACCCCCCCCCCCGGCCAAATCAAAACAGTAATTTTGTAGAGGTTGGGCTTAAATACTTAAATATTTCTCATCTTTGGGGACATCTTCAGATTCTTTCTTTCAAATCTGATATTTTGAATTTGGTAACAACTTATGTTCAGGTGTTAAACCCTCTGGGGACATGTTTACCTGGTTACAAAGCACAGCATCAACCAAGGTTAGTTAATGAGTTTACCCATATTCTGTTGATGTAGAAGACTGGACACAATTTTGCTTTAAAAAGAACCTTCAAAATAGTTTGGTGGGGGCTAGAGGGATGGCTCAGTGGGTAAAGTATTTACTGTACAAGCAAGGGGAACTGAGTTAGGATTATATAAGAAGCCTAGCAGGGTGATGTGAATGTAATACCAACAATAAGATGATGGAGACAGACTGATGGTGGGGGCTCACTGCCAGCCAGTAGAGCCTATTAGTGAGCTCCAAGTCCAGACAGCCCTACACAAAAAGGGGGAGATAAACTGAGGAAGTCACCCATTGTCAGTCTCTCACTTCTGCACTCATAGGTACAGGTGCACACACCCCATCCATGTATGTACACACACACTTAACAGTAGGGCTTAGTAACTTCAAGGTTACACAACTGGTAGGTGGGAGTTGAGATTTCCACCCAATCACATACAACTATGGAGTTTTCTGGTACCTTCCTTGAATTCAGCTTATAAATGGTATCAGTTATAGTCTGACGTTTTACTCAAACAAAGACACAAGTCCAGCTCAAGACTGAGTCCTTTAATGGAGTGAAAAGCCCATTTTCACTTAGCTACATTATCTTCCCTTCACAATCCTAGACCTTTTCACTAGACACAATTGTCCACATTTTTAAGACAATCAACTAAAAAGCTCACTTCATTACATTTAGTCTTCCTGTACACCGTGGGTTTAAACACAAATATTAACCAAAATATTTTTGTGTGCAGGTGCACATGTGGACAGAAGCTGTTAGCTGTCACTTCTCAGGAGCTGTCCACCTTTTTTTGAGACCAGGTCTCTCATTGGCCTGGAACTTGCCAAAGTTGCCTAGACTGGCTGGCCAGCAAGCACTAGGAATCTTCATCTCCATCTCCCCAGCATTGTTATTACAAACACATTGCCATACCAAGCTTAAAATAAAAATTGTATGATTGCAGGAAGTACCAGGGTTAATGCATGGAGGGTAAGGACAGCTTTGTGGAGTCAATTCCCCAAGTGACCCTTGTTTCTGCTGCTGCGAATACTCCAGGTTAGCTAGTCTACAAGCTTCCACATCTTTTTTACATGGACTCTGGGGATCCAACTCAGGTCCTCATTCTTGTGTGGCAAGCATTTTACTAAGCTCTCTCCACCCTTAAATGAAGCCATTACCTAATATATTGAGCAGCTCCAGGGTGACAACTCACCTCATTCTGATCACGCACCTCAACTTCTGTCCCCTGCTAGGCCATCTCTACTTTTCCTATCTGCTGCACTTACAAGCATTCAGTTTAAAGCAGTTATTGAAATGCAGATACTTGCATCTTACCATTTTTCTGGGGATTCAGCCAACTTTAAATTCCTGATGTAAGCAGCCACTAATTACTAGTAATCAACAAAGAAAGTGGTTCTGTGTAAGCAGCCACTCTAAGACACTGCAAAGTACAGACAGCAAAGTTAGAGGCATCAGCACTCTTTGCTGTTGCCATTGCACTCCCAAATTATGAAACGCTGTGGGTAATCTGTAAAGGGCTGATGAGATGGGCCAGAGCTGCTTACCACCAATCCTGAAAACCTCAAGTTTAACTCCTGTAACTTGCCCAATTCTAGTTTACTGACGTTTTTATGGTTAGCTTTCATTTTCTAAGAAAATGATACTGAAAAGTTGGTGAGGGGAGGCAACTTGGGAATAGCTACAAAATGTCTAAAAAGCAAAGAATGTTAGGTGTGGTGCTGCACACCTGTAATCCCAGCACTCGAAAGCTGTGGGCAGCCTCGGCTACACAGTGAGTTTGAGGCCAGCCTGGGCCACAAGAGACCTTGTCTCAAAAACACAGTACTCTTGTGCTTTATAGAGAAGAAAATCAAAGCAGGAAGTCCAGTTCTTCACCCATGGTTACTCCTGTCAGTTGGGGCTGACACTAGAAGGCAGAGTACCCAATTCCTGGGTGACGCAAAGATACTTGAGGAGAATCAATTGTATAACATTTCCCAAGGATTCAGTTAAGACATGTAACAGCCTTGGACTTAGGTTGTCAATAAACAAACTTCATTGTCAACAAATGAACTTTATTAATAATTCCTTATATATATTGAAAAGATAAAATACCATGGCTAGTGGATGCCAGTAGACACATTTTCTTGCTCCTGTCCACGAGGGTTCTGAAAATGTTCAAAGCAGATGGTACTCCAGGGAAGTGTTCCTAACCAAGTGAAGCTGCTTGAAAATAAGCATGTACTATTAGGCAGATCAAATAAATCACTAAATAGATTTGTCAGGAGGATTTTAATTGAGGCTTCCTCTCAAAGCTCAGAAATAAAAGGAAACTAGAGCTTGCAGGGACTTTGAGTCAAATGGACTGCAGTGAATTGGCTAAAGCTTTCTGAAAATGGAACTGCCCCTCCTCACACATTCTTGGACACAGCGATGTAACTGAAGAATGCATCAGGTGGGAAAAGACAATGGTGAACTATAGAACAGGAAAGGGGGACTCAGAGGAAGGACCTGGCTAGACACAAGCCAAAACTAGAATAACAAATTCCTTTCTATGCCAAGACTACCTTTCAACTGCTGGTTGTCTTCTGCTACAAATGCGCCTGCATTCTTTAACAACCGAGTATGAGAACTGAGCACCTGAAAACAGCAACGTACTGTGTTCTTTGCCAGAACATGTTTCATCTCACCTGACTTAAATCAACGAACAGGAGGGAGTTAAATTCAGTCAACTCATAGTCTCCTAGTGTGGCTTTGTTGATTCTTACCCTGTGAAAATGTGGTGAGTGGATCCTATTTGCCTCCCAAGAGAGGCTCCTGAAGGGAAACTGCTAGTCAAGAGAAAAACCAAGCCAAGAACCTTTGGTTATGAAGAGCTTTCAGATTTTTCTCAACAAAGAATTGCTGGTAAATGAAGCTCACTAGGCAAGAAAAAAAATTTTTTCCCCCTTACAAAAACACTGGAATAAGTCAAGAACAGAACCACTGACCCAGGGATGGCACATACTTCTGATCTCCCTCTTCAGGAGGCTGAGGCAGAAGGATGGATAATTCAAAGCCAGTCTGGATTATAGCTAGAGAGAGACACCTTGTTACAAATAATGAAAACTAAATATTTTCCTTTCCTAGCTGTTATTGTCTCAATTCATTTCCATAATATAAAAGCTTAAGATATCAACAAACTATGCTCTATCTACACATATATAGGCAGTGGCTATATTCCTCAGGTCAAGGAATGAAATCAGCAATTTTACTTCTCAGGTAAGAAAATGTGCTTTCTTGAAACTTCTTAGGGCAAGGTATTTGGTAACTAATGAAAACAGTCTAACTAGTTCTCTAAAGTAAACAACCCTAACTAGTTGTTCCTTTAGTTCAACAGATAGGTTAAGCCCAAAAGTTAAGGAGCTCCATATAATTGGCATAAAGTATCTGCTCGTGACATTCCCAAGAAACCAAACACCTCATACTGCAGAAGACATCTTTCTTTAAAAGAGAAACTGGAACCAACACCAATGCTTTTTAGTGCTTACAGTTGAGACTAGGAAATCCAGTGAACACTGCCACCAACTTTGCCACGAAGGCCTAAGTCTCCTTTGCTTTGGTTCTGAAAACAGTACATTGCAATAGCTAAGGCAACTATCTACGGGGCACATCTTGATATTGGAAAACTAGCCAAGAAAGGTCGATGGGAAGCCTCTGCAAAAAGCTACCACACCTAGGGCCAACACACCTTAGGAATGAATCACTCTTTTTTAGGATAGTTTTAAAGATAATGCTTTTTAATATTTTCAAATATTAAAAAAAATCTCATTGAAAATGTATCACCTTAACAGTACTTTGCACATGTGGAATTTCACACCTAAGTTTGATACTATTTTGGTTATTTATGGCTACTTACAAGACTCACAAGAGAACATCCATTGAGTCTTTTCTTTGGTAGTCTAATGGGGCCATGCAGATGAGCTATTTCACACAAACAAGATGCTTCAAGCAAATTCATAGTGATATCAATTGAAGATTTTCCTCAATAGAGAGGAAACTTAAAAGAATTTCTGTATTTTCCTCCACTGTGGTTTACATCCTGTTCCCAGGTTGAAGCATTTGAACAGTTCACACAATCCTGTAAAAAACACAACTGGCTACCCTTTAATAGTCATCATAAAGAATTACATTTACAGAGCAAGAAGTGAATACAGAGCATTGCAAAGTCAATCCTGGAAGTACTAAGCAGTACCAACCCACAGCATATACACTAGCTATCTGTTTAACTGTCCGTCATTAGCACCAATGAAGATTCAACAAAATTACCTCTATTCCCGTATCTCAAAAAAACATTTCTGAAAATCCTCGGTGAAGTTTAACTAGAGTCACAGACCTTAAATATTCACATTGTTTTCTAGGTCATACTGAAAATAAGTTCACTACTTTTCTGGATACTCTACAAAAATCTGATTAAAACCCCTGGCATTGCTTCCAATGACACAGTAGCAGGACCACCCCACGTCAGCTCACATGATAGCTCTGGAGAGGTTTCACATCTAAATCACCAAGAACAAAAAGCCCTCCCTCCCTCATCTTGTACTCCATTTAACTAGTTAGTCCTTGGATCTGTACCACGGTAAATGTATAACTGCATCAAAATTATCATGTTTATGGGTACAATATTATGCCACGTGGAGCAACAAAATTACATATAATGACAAGATTTCTGATGCAAGACAAGAACAAATGTGAGGATGAGCCAGCTAGGCTGAGTCCCCACAAAAAGGCTCCAAACATCCCAAGTTCAAATAACATTGACAAAGTAATGAACAATTATCTTAAAAAAATTTATAAAGCTACTGGCAATTTAGGTAATTTCTAAATAGAAGTAGAACACAAGGTCCAACTCTAATATTTACAACCACAATATACTTGAGTAAATTACAATTGTGCACAGATCAGTGGCTTTTTAACAAAACAGTTCATATACAGAGGAAAAATTGTTTGAGATTCAACACAAGTCGAATCCGAACTATATCTTAAAAGATACTCAACAACTAAAACTTACCACAGAATAAATTCAAGATTAGCCGATAGACAAGAGCCATACTATGGTGCTCACACCAACACGTAGACAAGCCTGTCCTTTGACAGGGGGTCAGGTGACAGTGCAAGTGTCACCTCCATGATAATCTACTGAGATGTGCAAACAATGTAAAACCTCCTCAAGTGCTCTGCCTGGAGGCTGGCCTCTTTTTCCTTAGTTTCCTGATAACCATAAGCTTTAAATACAGGTACAATGCACAGTCAGTGATCTTTTCTTCTTTATTTATTGTTAGAATATAAAAGAATCAAGAGAACATAGGTTTAAATTCATTTTATAAGGAAGACTGCATTTACCTGAAAAAGAAACATGACATTGCACTCACTCAGTCACTCGCTCACTCACTCACTTTTTCCTCTCTTTCTTCAGGCGAGGAGTATATTCAAGAATACGGTGTCACTTTGAATGCTAAAGGAAAGGTGATCCCTGTTCACTGTTAAAATATGTAGTGTCAAAGTTCTCTAAGGAAAGACATCCACTAATTCTTCACTATGGGAGTTCCTGTGAATTTCAAGTCACAGCCATCCTCATACCCATTATTAACTGCGCCTCCACAACACTGCAATAAGCCAACAAACATTTAAATGCACTTCACATCAAGAGTATGTAAACTTTATTATTTTTTTCCTCTTCACGCCTTCAGAAAATCGAGGACTGTTTCTGCAGCCAATCTGGTCAGAACTTCTGAAGGCAAACTGAGTGCTTCCCAGTGTCAAGGACCACCTGTGGCACCGCATACCCATCTAGTAGTGAAGTGTCCCCTCAGCGGCTTCCAGTAAGGCCTAGAGTTTAAGGTTAACATAAAAAAAGTGCCACCTGTGTTTTAGATTAGTGATGGACTCTGACAAGAGAAAATAAAGTTATTCTGTATATTGTTATACTTACAAGCAGCTCCAATCCTGAGTATTTATGGTAATATCTAAACATACAAAAATGTATGTACATTTTTCTCCACTTTCTTGTAAACAGTTGTCAGTATACTGTTTTATCCCTTTATCTGAGACATGCAAATCATACATACAGTATAAATACACAAAAGAAAACAACTGACACTCATTCAAAGCCAAGCAACAACAAAAAATAGCTACAGTATTCAAATCATAAATAACGAATGCTTGAGGCAGCTTAGATTCCTAGCAGCAGACAGCCATTCATCCTAATGTTCTTAGCTGCAACTGCAGAAATACTGAGTCCTGCACCTTCCATGCGTTTACAGTATTGGTAACACTATCATATGTGGAGATAAAGATTTGTTTACTATCATCTCTTCTTTTCAGAATGAAGAATAAAGCAGCACTTACAAATATGGAAGCAGTGGCACCACTGCTGGATCAGGAGGAAGTTTTCCATTCCAACCATTGTTAAATTAAAAAGGAAAGGAAAAGTTGACCTAAACAAATGATTACATATTCATTCCTTGGGCACTTAGCAGCGAGTCCAGCATGTCGAACGTGTCTTTGTAGTCCATATGCTGGCTGCTTGTACTGTACTCGTGATTGGCCTCAGGACCGTGGGGCTCCACTGGTTTCTTGTCCAGTTTCACGAGGGTGCTGAGATGTCCGTAGCCCACCTGGTATGTGACAGGGGGAGGAGGGGGTAAGGGATGGTTAAAAACAGAGCTGTGAGAGGATACATACTGCTTAACAGAGGAGGAAGAACTAGATGAACTACCTGAACTTTTGGAACTTTTGCTCATTTTGGAGTGGTGGTTGTGGGAGGCATCGTTGATATGCAGCCTCTTCCTTGAACTGGAACTGGAGATGCTGTCGGTACCCAGGCCTATGGGACTCCTCAGCACAGTAGGTGGCATCCCTTCGGCAGAGTGCTTCCCACCCCCACTATGCACATGGGAATGCTTGTGGCTGCCATGGTGGCGGTTGGCAGGATGTTCCTTGTGCTTCTCCTTGTGGTCTCTGCTGATGTGAGGACTTGAGTGCTTGCTCTTCCCACTGCCTTCATCAGAAGAGCTGTGTCTTTCTGAGGAGGATACTTTGATCTTCATCTTTAGCTCCTCTTTACTAGGGCCTTTATCAGTGGGTGGGATGGGAATCCGTAACTTCAACGATCCACTCTTCTCCTTTTTCTCTGCCAGGTGTTTCTCTGGTTTGTCAGCGTTTGTTATGGGGAGTTTCATTTTAATGGGGGAAGTGACAGAGCTGCCAGCAGCTGCCTGGCCCGGCCCATGTTTGTGCTGCTGCTCTGCCTGGGCAGCTATATAATGATCCCTTACATCCAGGTCAAGGGTTTCCAGCTTCCGCTTTTCTCTGTATTTATCTAAAGACATTTTCTGGGGAACCACTCCAGGAGTAGCAGAAACAGGCCCATGGTGCTTACTGCTCCCAACTTTGTGAGTATACTCTGGCTTAGCTGAGGAATGATCAGCAACCTTGTCAGGCCTGTGATGTAATCCTGAATGTAGTGCCATTGAAGGTCCCTGCTGGAAGCTGATATACTGGCTCCCAGATAGAGTGGCCTCCTGCTTCTGTGCATACACTGGCTCTGTCCTGGATGACTCTGGATGCTGAGGCCATTCTTGGTGTGATGACAGACTGTATGAGGTACTGGGCATTCCTGTTGCTAGCACTGGCAAGTTATCAGATGCATGGCTGTCCTGAACAGAAATATTTCCTGAATTTAGAGGTACTGGAGCAGGAAACGTTGATGTTGATGGTTTCTGAAAACTTGGGTTGGAAGGTACACCAGTGACACTATCTACTAAAATGGAATTCTGGACCAAAGAGGAACCAAGCAGTGGTGTCTCTGATACTTGTCCATCTACTTTTGGCTTCCTAGCCGCTGCCTGATTTGCCTATTTAAATGAGAAACAAAGAAACAATGACAGCAGAGAGATTTAATACAAATTTCTTTGCTTATAAAACTATATAGAATACACAGAAACAAAATCACTCTAAGACCAGTAAACGAATATAACAGAAGGCTCTAAGGTTTTAGAATTAGACAATTAAATCCTAACCCAGAATCTGAGACAGTGATATAACTTGACTAGGCATTAGTTTCATTCATAAAAGGAGGGGAATTTTCCCATGGGAATTTAAAATAAGATACATGATACAGAGAGTCCACTGGACATTGGAGCTGAGTAACCATGAGCTTGTGCAGTCTTTGGTAGACCATACTTGGAAATACTGCAAAGCACAGTACTTCACAATTTCAAACTGAATGCTATGCAATTGCTAGATGAGCAAAAAACTGATATTCTGTTAAATCCTGCCAATTCTCTTACCCTCCAGTTTCGAATCCTCTTCAACCTACTAGGCGTTTTCTCCAATATTTGTAGAAACTCATGTGTTAGCTCTAAAAATAAAATTTAAATTTAAAGCTTAGAAGATGCCTTTAGGATATGAACCTCTCTCAAGTGGGCAATATTTAAAAGGGACCTGAAGAGTTCACCCCTTTCACTGTTAACTTCCCAGTCAACCTTCACCACATATTTTGAACTAGTATTTCAAACCCGAGTTCATTTTGAAAAGAATATCCTTCCTTCCACCAGATTTTATTTTCTTACTAAGAAAACAATCCCCAAGGGGGAAGGAGGGAATCTCTACAAGGCAAAGAGTATACAGTAATATTTGATGTAATAAAGATCCACCAATGAAATTGCTTTAAAATAGTTGGCTAAAGTTTGAAGAGGATCTGTACAATCCCAAATGATTTTCTGCAACACATTTAATTATGAAGGGGAAGCAGTTTTATAGTGAAAACTCACCAATACCACTGTACCTAAGTGACCAGCACGGTAGTGCAATATATTAAGTGGGGATACCCCCCCCCACCCCAATGTATGAGCCATGCAGGGCACAACCTACTTTCTGTAGTATTCTTGCCAAGAACACTTAAGTCTTTAAAATTTTATTTATTTTTATTTTATGTGTATGCATGTATTGCCTGCATGTAGATAAGTGCACCTGTGTCGTGCAATGCTGGCAGAGGTCAGAAGAGGCTGTCAGATCTCTTGGGACTGGAGTTACAGACAGTTGTTAGCTGTCATGTGGGTGCTGGGATTCAAACCCAGGTCTTCTGCAAGAACAACCAGTGTTCTTAACCACTGAGCCATCTCTCCAGCCCAGAACAGTTAAACTTTGGTAATGAGAAATATTAGACAAACTAGGAATTACTCTGCAAAAATATCTGATTATTTTCCCAATCACTAATGTCTACCGGGCATTACAAGGGCATTTGAATTGAATATGAAAGGAACATGGGAACCTGGACCAGGGAAAATCTGAACACAATCAAGTTTAATTAGAAATATTATTAGATGAAGATCTCACGGAATTGATTTCTTTAATTATAAAACTATTTCAAAGTTAAACGCTTAAAAGAAAATAAATCTCCACCCATACTCATACTTCCTAGCAATTGACACTATGAATAGATCAGCAAATTACTCTGACCATAATTTCATCCATTTTTTTTTTTTTTTTTCCTGAGACAGGGTCTCCTAGTAGCCCCAGCTGGCCTGGAACTATGTAGACCAGGCTGGCCTTGAACTCACAGAGATCCACCTGCCTCTGCCTCCCAAGTGCTGAGATTAAAGGCGTGTGCCACCACACCCTGCTCATCCATTTTCTTAAGTTCAGGATTATAGTGAGGTGACCACTTTCCCACAATTGCTATGCTAAATTAGTTACACAAACTGAAAACATGTTACTGATAGTCACTGGTAAATATTCATCAAGTGAGTTAGAATATCACTTATACTAACCAAACCAAGTCAACTTGGCACTGGGTGGACTGTATATTCACTGATTTTTAGTGTGAACAGCAAGCTCTGCTGTCAAAACAGTCTAGGCAAATGCTAAGACAGTGACAGGACAACACAGAATGTCTCAAAAAGTGCAGAATATATAAAAACTCAATACACAGCTATCCAAAAGCTGTCACAAGCATGATGACTACCCAAATCCAGCTTCTGAAGAGCTGGCACGGAGCTCAGCGGAGAATATTTGCCTAGCAAGTGCAAGACGCCGAGTTCAACGCCCAGCACACCAGACAACAACAAATCCTACTCCAAGATCAGCCTATAAAACAGCACGCAAGCACCCATGAATCTAAATTTAACTATGAATTTTTGGTGGAACTGCCTTGGTAGTCTTCCTTTGAAAAGACTGTTTTTCTACTTGACACTAGTAAATGTAGCGAATACTAGATATTTTTGGGTCTAGTAGAATAAGCGTAATTGTAAAAAACCCAACACATTTTGTTTTTTGTCTTTTTGAGCCAGGGTAGGGGCTCCCTGTAGTGCCAGCTGGCCTGGAACTTGCTATGGAGACCAGGTTGGTCAGAATCTCACAGAGATCTGGCCACCTCTGCCTCCCTAGTATTAGAATTAAAATATGCATCACCACACCTGGACCAAAAAAAATTTTTTATGTATTTTTTATTTTATGTGTATGAGCGTCTTGTCTGCATTTATGTAAGTGTACCATCCATGTGCCATGTACAATGCCTGTGGAGGCCAGAACAGGGCATCAAATCCCCTGGAACTCGAGTTCTGGAAAGCTGGAAACTAAACTAGGGTCTTATGGCAAGAGCAGCCCATGCTCTTTTAACCACTGAGCCATGTCTCCAGCCCTGCACGAGTATATTTTAACTCAATTTCTTGCTGACAAACATTAAATGCACATAAATTTCCTGCTTCAAAAGCTTGGTATACAGCAGACAAAAATGCTTTTCTAAGCATCCTATTTTGTTAAATTTTTTGGTCTTTTTTGTTTTTTTGAGACAGGGTCTCCCTGTAACCCAAGCTGTCCTGGAACTCAGTATGTTGACCAGGGTGGACTTGAACTCACAGAGATCTGCCTGCCTCTGCCTCCCAAGTGCTGGGATTAAAGGTGTGAGCCACCACACCTGGCTTCTATTCTGTTAAATTTTATAATCCAGGAACAAAAAATGTGCTAATAATATATTAATGTAAATTAGCTATATGTACTACACAAAGTGTGATGTTTAAAATAGTGGCATTTCTCCTATTTATTCAGAGATAGAGCCTCATGCAGCCCAGGCTGGTTTGGAATTCATGGTGGAGGATGGCCTCAAACTTCTGGTCCTCCTGCCTCCAACTCCCAAGTGATGGGATTGAAGGTGTGCAACACACCAGTATGCACTACGGAGGCTCTTCTACTTCAGAACTAATATACACACAAAATTGAAAACAAAAACACATTTATATGTATGTACAAACACACACACAGTAAACCTTACAACTAGGCTATATCTAAACCAATGTTGTTTTGGGAGTCATTAAATAAATGACTTCAGTAAATAATAGCAATACTCTAGCCTCAACAGGCTAGCTCAGTCAAACAGAAAAAGGCTGCCATATAATATGCTACAATCTTAATGTGTTGAGTTTCAATTTCCAAATTAATAATGAACTTGAGTCTTTACAGAACAGACCTGGAGGAGAATACAGGTTGCTCTTATTATGTCAATAATAATGGAAACAAGAAGATAACTGTTCCTCTAACCTAAAAGCAAGACAAAAGGCAGATTGGTTATTAATCTACTGACTCCTAAGGTAGGTCAATGATGTAGATAATCTGATTTCAAGGAATAGGACAAATGGAAGCAAATGATAAGGTCCTCATGGGTTTTTAGATTTGCCTTCCTCTGGATAAACAGAAAAACTTGACTGCCTGAAAACATCATTATCAGGAGTAACAAGGAGGACCATATATATTCAAGGAGAGGGAAAAAAAGAAAATAAAGACATACAAAAAAGCATAATTTACAAGTGTAGCAGGCCAACTATGGTCAGTTAGGCAACTGTGATCTACAGGTCCAGTACTGGCTTATAAATTGCCATTGGCTGCTTATTCAGCTGATGTGGAGTTGCACATTTGCAACAGATACCTTACTGCTCCACCACCTGCTTTATGTAGTCAAGTCAATGTCTTCAATAGTAACAAATGTGAATCCTGGCTCCATGTCAACTTTCATTTTGTAAACAGAGATGGGAAAAGTCCAAGAATAAGTTGAAAATCTGACATATAGGTCAAGTTTGATACCTATTTCCTTTTTAAAATGCAGTAGCTGGTTAGAAAATGCTATTGCATGATCCCATCTCTTACCAGTCTGCCTTATGCTTTAACGAGAATTACTGTCTCTCTACAGAAAACCCCCAAATCCCAGGCTCAAAATTTATAGGACTTGTACCCAAGTCTTCCTTATTTATTCATGCTTAACAGTATAAGAAAACAGCACAATGAATATTTTATATGTATTTCAAGAAGAAATCTTTGTTTTCACACTTTATACAGTAAGTTAACAACATCCAGTTTTGAGCTTCAACTCCTAGGGGTGCTTGGGATTAGAACAGAGTATGATTCTTATGTATGAAAATGCCATAATGAAACCCATTACATTATTCTGCATGCTAACTTAAAGAGTCCTGAGAGGGTTTTCTAGACGAACTGCTTAACAAACACTTGATCACTGTTTTGGTTGAGCTAGGATCCTATTTCATCTTTTTTTTTTTTTTTTTTTTTTTTTTTTTTGATTTTTTTGAGACAGGATCTCCCTGTAGCCTCAGCTGGTCCAGAACTCACTATGTAGACCAGGCTGCTGGCCTCAATCACAAGAAATGCACCTGCCTCTGCCTCCTGAGTACTGGGATTAAAGGCATGTGTCACCATGCCTGGCCTTCCTAGGTCATCTTATTTATCTTATTGTACTTTTAAGTTCTTTTATCAAACACTAAAATGGAATTAAACTTATGACATTAAAGAGAGGTTATCTTTTGAAATGTGAATTCCAGTGAACTAAATGTTACCTGGGGTATGAAATGGAGCAACTACAGTGTGCTGGATTGACTAGAACTGGGGACTGTTTCAGGTGGCAGTCTATTAGAAAAAACTCACAGAATCCTTCATGTAGGAAAGGACCTCTTCCCTTTGCTTACCATCTAGCAGCTCTAGGGTAACTGTAGGATCCACATACTCCCACCAGTGCTTTCCATCAGTTGACACAGGAATCTCCCAATTGGACCATTTGCAAGCCAAATGAATGCATACACATGCTATCACTGTGGGTTTGTACTGAAGACAGAAGGTTGTAAGATGCAGACTGGTAGAGCAGATTTAAAAGTGGAGAGCCACAAAAATTCAAATATGTAAAACAAAGAAAAACAGTTGCCAGTGAGAATAAAGAAAAAAAGAGAGAGAGGTTTTCTTCTTTATATAACCATATTTTATTAAATTAAGAAGTAACAGTACTTAAAAATTGTGAGACAAAAAAATCTTATGGAAAAAAAACTCATTCTCAATCCTCAATAATATATTAATATTTTACTAACACAACTAATAAAATTGCTTTAAAACTAAATTCAAAGTATTACATAAAAGGAAGTTAGCATGCTTACAATAAACACTATATACAAAATAGAATCTTTTAAACCTTTTTTTGGGTAGTCTTGGTTCTTTGTAACATCATCATGGCAAAAAAATGTAGACTTCATAAAACAAAGCAATTTAAATGTCATACTATAATCAAGGATTACATCATTTGATACAGCTTAACAATTTAATTTTTGTAAATCACAGAAACTTCAGTCTTCAATATAAATGTGTATGCCTTCCAGCAAAGCCTTAAAGAAAACTTACCTTTTGCCAAACAACTTTAAGGCTCAAAGTGGCTCAATACTAATAAATACTAATCTTATCTCCCCGAATACGCTAAAAATTGATCATGTGACATTTCACAGGCTAGTTTTTCTAACAAAGGTTTTTTTTGAGACAAAGTCTCATAGAGCCCAGACTGGCCCCAAACTACTACGTAGCCAAGGATAACCCTGAACCCGATTTTCCTGCCTTTATTTCCACAGTGCTGGGATGACAGGGCGAGCCACCATGCCCAGCTGACTGTTTGGCTAATCCAAAATTTTGGTTTGGTTCCCTTCATGACAGAGCTCACTCAAAAACCTTTTATCACTCAAAAGCTTTTTAACAATCAATATTCAGAATAGAATTATGTATCAATTTTAGAGGCCCTTTAAATTATTATTCTAGCTTAGAATAAAAGAAATGTTTACTGGACAGCCACAAACACATACTACTTTTTACTTTCTATAAACTGAAAAGTAGAGTTTTAAAGTAAAGATTATATCTGTGCAAACTCAGGCACTACCTCTAATCTACTACTTGCAGTATTACCTGAAAAAAGCCCCAAAATTACATAAATTTTACATAAGAAACTAGCAATTATTTTAAACTTAAGACTGGATCAATGTGAAATTAAAAGTCATTTAACTATAATTGTAAACTAGAAATAGCTTTATACTTACCAAGTTTCTACGTTAAGTTTAGCTCTGTGTAATCTTTAGCTGCTATTCAGGCTACCAAGTTTAGATTTATGCACTCACAAATCGAGAATATGCCACCAGAAAGCACCACTACACTTCACAGTGTGCATTTAACCCCTCTGTGCCCAAAGTCCCTTGTACAATACACCGCAAAGCAACCAGGAAGGTACCACCACAGTAGATGGTCCAGTCTCCTGTTGCAACAAGGGCAAGAGACACGTTGAGGGGGCCCTGCATTAAAGGAAGCTATAGTGTGCTACAACAGTGCAACAAAGAGGGTCAGGATAACAACCTGTTGGTAGCCATGAAATAGGATGTCTGTGCCAAATCCTTGCTTGCTGTAAGAAAAGAGAGAAGAACGAAAACAATACCGTCAGCTTCAACGTGCAACCTCCACAAAGCTCTCAACACAACAAAACAACAAAGATTTGTACACAAAAAGTAAATTTTACTTACTACTTACAAATATCACAAGAGCGCCATCATTTTCTATACTACTGAAAATCTTCAACAACATTCACTCAAATGTTTCTTGCTATCCCCCATAGATCTGAGAAACAAGCCGATTTGCTTTTAGCTAGCCAGTTACAAGTGCTAAACTTGTTACTAAGTTAAGCATCTAGTCAGCTAAAAGTTGAAATAAAGCATTCTCCTGGATTAAAAAACAAAACAAAACAAAACAAAAAGAAGAAGAAAAGATTTTTGAAGTCTAATACAAAATACAAAGAGTTGCCTGCCAGACTTAATCCTAAGTCATTATAAAGGCTGGCTTAAATACTTCCATCAGAAAGAAATGAACAACCCCCACCCAAAACTCAGAGCATAAACCGCTCAGTTCTTTACTGTGTTATTATATACCAATAAAGTATACCTAGAAACATCCTCAGGGTACTGTAGATATTGGAAGCGCTATTGTATTTGTTTCAAAATTTAGAGGCTCCAACTGGAGATAACACTTGTACTCTTTCCGGGGGTGGGGGGGGGGAGCAGGATGCTTCCACACTAGTTCCCAACAGGAAAGCAACTTTGTTATTGGTTTTTGTTTTATTGAGACATGGTCTCCCTGTAGCCCCAGCTGGCCTGGAATTGCTACCTAGACCAGGCTGGCCTTGATCTCAGAGATGGGCTTATCTCTGCCTCCCAAATGCTGGAATTAAAGATGTGCACCTCTACACCTGGCTAGGAAAGCAATTTTTAACTAGGTTCTTAAGACACGAAAAAATTTTCCCCTTCTACCTAGTATTTGCCAGTTGCTTCCCACCCCATGTCCACTCTTAATCACTGCTCACCTAGGTGACCCCTGAGCCCTGCCTCTCTAGCAGTTCTGAGACTCCTTCCCCTCCTACTTTTCACTCTTGGCACCTGTAATCCCTGCTGCCCCACCCTCATGATCATCAACATAGTTTTACAAAAGGGATTGGGTCTGGCAGGGCTGTGCTAAGGAAGAGTGTCAGGGCACCAGAGGTCCTGGAGGCACTGTGACTTAAGTATGGCATTCTTTCCTGGTGGGGAGGGAAGGAAGAGTAGAGTGAAAGGTCCCTGCAAAATGACAACAGCCAATTATGCAGCAAAGTAGCAACATAGCAACTGTCTGGAGTGGAAGGAGAGGGTTTTACAGATATCAAATCTACCCCCTACCTCACAGCCCTCCCAAAAAGAACAGGAAAAATTCTGTTGCCCTAGTATGTTTCCATCTAGAGAATGTATCTAATTCAATAATCTATAGTCACAGCAGCAGAGAAGACTGGGGAGGACACACATACACATACACACACACACGTTCTTTTGTTAAAACTTATAACAAAGAAAAAGTCACTAACCATGAAAGATCACTTTTAAATGGAGGAAGTATATATAGCTACCTCAAGCACTAGTCAAACATGCATGCTTTGTACTCAAGGTTAAAAATGATACACTTTAACAGTTAACTATAAAAACCATTTGTGGTTTATAAAAAACAGAATTTTTCCTGTTCTTTTTTTTTGGGGGTGTGTGTGTCTTATGAGGTAGTTAAATGTTTTGGATGATATATCAAATTTGTAATTTTCATGAAATCCCACTTTAATTCCCAAGGTAATATAAGTAACTTTGTTAAACATACACCAATTTCTTTCTTCATTAGAGAAATAGAGTGAACTTAAGAGTAAATTATGTGGCTTGTGATTTTTCTTGGTTAGCTTACATTTTCAAGTTTTTATGAGAAAGACCAACCTACAAGCTTTTCTTTTTCTTAATTCAGCATCTACAACAAGTTAGCTATACAATTCTGTACCTGTACTATAATGCTAGGAAAGAGAATATGCTAAAAAATATATTTGTATGATTGTATGGACTAGGAACCATAATTAAACACTGTAGTTTACAAAGTGATTCATTGATAATGTGTGATTCTAGGATCAAAAATATGTGTCTTAGAACTCTACTCAAGGACACTGGTTGTGAGACTACAGGTTTGTTTTTCCACTGTATCCATTAGCATAATAAAATACTATCTAGGTATAAAATGGAGTTCAATTTAGAATGAATGAGATAGTAAGGTAAATACTAGAACAACAACAAAACACCACCCATGTGCAGGTATACACTCCCAAACCAAAACGCTTATGCCATCAAAAGTCTTACTCATTTTGTTTAAAAACAAGACAACAAAAGGGTGGAGAGGGTCTGAATATGATCAGAATACATTGTATGAAATTCTCAGATCAAAGGAAAAAAAAAAAAAAAAAAAAAC